AACGAAACGAAGCAGACAGCTGCGATATGTCTTAAATTGAAGAAAAAACTGTTATCAACATTTTAAATTACATCTCAGTTCTGTAAAATGTCTAGTTTTAAAGATCTGATACAAATATTGGCAACTACTTTTCGATTCTGCAAAGTGTAAATGTGCGAAAAGTAGTTGTCAATATTTGTATCAGATCTTTAAAACTAGACATTTTACAGAACTGAGATGTAATTTAAATGTTGATAACAGTTTTTTCTTCAATTTAAGACATGTCGCAACTGTCTGCTTCGTTTCGTTTACGATTTATAAACAAAACAAAATGATAAAAAACCTAACAAAATTCCTTTACGGTAGCAGAGTTAGCTGGCCACGTCGTTTTCTTAAATCTCCATAAATTCTAGTGTTAGTAATCTCTTTCACTTTTTCACGTTGCATTACTACCGGTCGAAGTTTAACTGATCAATAAAAACTGGCTATTATCGAGCGTGTTAAATTCGGACTTTTTTACTTGTTTATACATCTGTATATTTAATGTTTTCATGCTCACTTCTAATGCCGATGTGCCAAAGTAGATAAAAGTAGAGAATTTTATGTATGAACATTAGAAAGCTATTTCAAATATCTATCTTCAGTGTTAATTTCTTTTAAGTTTATTCAAAATGACTTTCTATAAAGGAGTCAGTCTACCTTCAGTTTCTCCCCCCAAAAAATTCCCTCCCACAGCTGCTAAATTGTTCCATCGTCTCTGCTCTAAACTATTTCGGGCGGTACTGTTATCCCTCGAACAATCACCTGCTCTTGTGTACAAGATCTACAGTGATTTGAAACTATTCGACATACTCGACTTTTGGTTTTTGTTTTACTTCGAGTGTCATACAAGTATAGTGTTTGAGGGCAACGACTTACTTATCAAAAATTTGATTATAATTGCAGCTGTTTTAAACTTCATTTTGTTTAGTTGATATTTCGAACTTTAACCGGTCATTTTCAAAACATTACAAAACTATGTGTACAAGAACTGAAAAACAAAACTTCTTTTCTTTTTTCCCTTACGTGATAACGCAGAACGAAAAAGAGAAATCAAAACATAACCTAGATCATTCTTTTTCTCTCAATGCCGTCGGGATAAACATACAGTGGAACGAATCGATCTGTTCCATTAAGTGCTGAAGCTGCAGAGCGAATAAAGCTACAATGTCAGTCGCATTTTGCTAGGTGCGCTGTGTCACTTACAAGCACAAAAACGGACGGGTACAGTCTCATTAAGGAGGCAAACACAAAGAACAGAATGCCTACTTAATAACGCTTGAGTAAGCGAATGTTATCTCACCAACAGCATAAAATGTATCTTCAAAAACATTTGAGCAATGTCAACAAGTGTCGGCTGGTCAGTTTTAAAGTGAGAATAAATCAAATTCAGCGGGTTATTCTTGAAACACGGAAGGAAGTTTTGCATTCTAAATGTAAAACGGAAATGCGTTTCATCTCAAATATGTGGCTAATGGACAAATGTACTGTCGATCTACATTCACCAATTGTATGTAACGAGGAAGTGACTATTGATTATTGTCTCTTTTTGGATCGTGACTATGAAAGTTTGGACGTGATCCTAGAGCTGTGTCAGTGTAGATCAAACGTATGTCGACAGACGATAAACATGAAAGACTGGAGAAGAAGTGAGTTGCAGGAACGATACAGTGAACATTTTTCACCGTTTTTCAATGGAAGAATTAGGATGCTGAAGAGATGCATCTAAAAGCTAAAGCCGATTTTCCTGCTTCCATTTGAGTTTCTGTTTAGCCTCTCTCACTTTATTCTAAGTCTCGGTTTTGTGTTATACATGCTTCTTTTTATTGTATAAATTACAGTATTCCGTACACCATGTACTTGGGATCTCCACGGAGCTCCGTGACCGTATAATACGATCGTATACGGAAATATACGGAGTATGGTCTCCGTATATGGAGAAAGTGTACGCTCTCCGTTTTACTCCGTAAACGATCGTACTTCTCCGTATACGGTCAAAAATTAGGAAAATAAGATTGAAAGAAAATGAGAATGAAAGCAACTACAAAAATCAAGATGTTACTTTTTCGTTCAGCTGAACTTGATTGTTGAGTGTGCGGTGAGATGCCCTGTGCAAAGCGAAAATACCACGTCGGATCCCATGTCGTTTTGATTTTTTGTAATCGATCCCAACGATCACGATAGTACATCGCTTGCCAGTTTTGCAAGTATGGGTCAATATAGTTCAGATATGCTCCAACAACGCTTTGTGTGGGTGCTGCTGCATTCACGAGTCGCTGTAACCAGCTTTCAGCGATATCGATTGCGGTAGCGTCATCATCGGGTATGAGCCACGCAAAAATAGGAGCAATGACAAAGGAGATATCGGGAAAAGGCCATGATGTGTTTTGATCCTTGTTCGCGTTGTTGAGATAGATGATAGACATTACTTGTGTTATTTGTGCAGTGGAGTTCGGCTGAGCTTCGAGAATAATATCTTGCATAGCACTTGTGATATTAATCGCCATAGCAGACACAACGTGCTGTCGTTCCTTTACTGGAAAAGGAATGCTCGAGCCTCCAGTTTCTCGAATTATATCAGCCTGTGTGTAGTTGAAGACTGCGAAAGAGTTCGGTTGTGGATTCTTGGTTAGCCACGGCTTAAACACTGGTTGAAGTTCTGCTTGTGGGCCATTGAACGTACCCGACATCATAATAAAGCTATGTTCAGGCGAAACGTACACGGTCACGTCAAAAGAGATGCGACTGTCAATGTTAGCAACCTCATTGAGAAATGAAAGCCAATTTAGGAAAACTGTTTTAAGGTCAGTGTTCTCCCAAGTAATATTCAAAAACGAAATCTGACCCGAAGGCAGTTTTGTTTCGCTGATGTGATGAATTTTTTGGGTCATTTCCAGAACATAGCCAAAGTTTCCTCCACCACCACCTCTCAATGCCCAATATAAATCCGGGTTCACTTCGGATGACGCTGTTACAATGCTTCCATTGTACAATGCTAGTGAAAAGTTTAGAACACTGTCGGATGCCAGTCCGAATGAACGACTATACATCGGATTGAAACCACCTCCCAACGTATAACCAACCACCCCCACAGTCGGACAAAATCCACCAATCACAACGTATTCAGATCCATTCAAAGCTCTGTAAACTTCATCCCATATCACTCCTGCTTGCATCGTTACAGTTTCAGCTGCCCAATTAATTTGCACACCTTTGAGAAGTGCAGAATCGAGAACGACACCTTGGTGACTACAATAACCGCCATAACTATGTCGGCCGCCCATGATACGAACAGGTACGTTAGCAGAGTAAAGTGTTGAAAGGGCTAACGAGACGTCATCATAGGTTGCAGGTCGTAAGATGAGACTAGGCCAAATTTGTATTGCCGTATTCCATAGAGTAGCTGCTGCTTTGTATTGCGGATCGGTCACTCGCAATACTTGTCCACCATGGGAAATAATAGTCGATTCCAAAGTGGGAAACGAGTCACGTGCTGCGCCAATGATGAGAAAAATTGACAAAAGCAATATTGCCATAGGAGGTTTCAAACCAAGATGAACATGTGATCCAGTCATTTTGAAACTTTAGCTGGAAGTAAATACACAGTAGATGATACATTACACTACCAAACAAGGTTAATCCCAGTTTTTTAGTCATTGCTATCTGTTGTTTTAGCAACAGATTTAATAGCTCATCAAAATAGAATGACTATGATAATAGTAGAAACAGACAACGTACAATAGGCAAAAACTGAAAATTTGGTCAACATGAAAAAAGAGTAACACGAGTTCTAACAGACTTTTTCAGGGGATTTTTCGAAAATAAAATGAAAGTTGGCATCGCGAGCAGTGCACTTCTAGCAAATGAAGTGTCGATTGGGATTTTTGCTCTGGTTAATTTCGAGGCAATCCAAATACAGTGGCATATTAAATGTGAGAGCTCTGCTGATTGCCGCATCACAGTGGGCATTCAGGTGGAAATTTAGAAAAAAACAGTGAGCTTGCTTTTTCGCAATTTAAATAATGTTTGTTATACTTCGAGTGGCGGCCGATTTAATGGCGAAAGAATTTTTATTATACGACTTTTCCTTCTATAAAAGATTTGAAATGCAAAAAACACCATGAAAATGCCCTATTTTTTCGGAAAATTTCGATTTTTATTGAAGGATAGTAAATTAGAATAAAACCGAGATCATATTCGGAAAGAGCACAGTCAGACGAATACGAAATAAAAAAATTTTGTTTTTCGAGTGAAACTTAGTTAGTTTAAGAAATCAAATATCTACTGCATTCCCTTATTTTCTTGGCGCTCTTCTCTCTTCTTCAATGGTTAGTGTGCTTTTGCGATTCATTTTCTTTTTCGTCATGGGTTCCTTTAACTCAGTGCTCACATTGATCTCGTCGCCGCAGAGCATTGGCGCACGTGATCCCACGTTTCAACTGACTCCATTATCGAAAAGCCGTTTAATGTAACTCCGTCATCGATGTCTCATCATTTTTCACTTTCCGTATTTTTTTTCGTTTCTAAGATAGCACATGGGTATGTTCTCAGTCATTGAGCCGATGCATGTCACAGTACTTAATCGTCGAGCAGCTTCAGATACTACGTTTCTACTCTTTTAACGGTTCTAGAAAATTGTCGAATGTTCTCATTCTAGAAAACTCTGCCCGTGGCCATGTTGAGTTTCTACTCTCCTTCAGAGAGATTGTCTGTAGGTGGACAACAAGCTACTCAGTATAAAACTCAACTCAATATTAATATTTTTATTATTTTTTACGCAAAACTATGTTTTCTGAAAGAATTTTATTCAATAATTCCTGAGAACAATTTAAATCTTTTACCTCAACGCTGAACGAACAGTTTTTGTTATTTGTCTGTTTGCTCATCTGTTTGTTATATGTATGTTGTATAATAAATAAATGATAAAGAACAAATGCAGAAAGAAAAAAGAGGTGACATTTTTTGGAAGCACCTATGCGCCCTCTTTATACTGATAATGAAAAGAAGACAGGTGAGCAAATAGCATGAAGAACAAGTTATAAAACACGATCTTTCTTGCCAACATGGGAAAATATTTTTTCTGGATTTTCAAACCAGTTCGAAAATTTTTGAAAAGTGACGGGTTTTTATCGGTATCTCGTCACCCAAAGACTTTTTCAACCGGCCGATGGCGGACCGTACCTGAGTGCATCAGTCGCTAAATTCTACATCGGTTTCAACTCTGTGGTTTTTATAGACTAATTTGAGATTGTAAAAGGTTTGTGCTAGTCGATGTCTCTGACAGAGTTTTTATTTCATAAACATCTGCTTCTCCCAGCGAGTTGCGAATTGTAATTTGTTTCGACATACGAGCTCGAAAACTCCATCAAATATTAGCCGTATATTTTATCATTTAGGTTATGCATACGTGTGTTGAACCGGAGAGGAATATCACAATTGAAGAGGCAACCACTAGTAGCGTTCTGTTACGAAGAAGAAAACCAACCGACAACGATTATCCATAAACAGTCGGCTGCAGACATGAATATCAATCATAAAAACTATCGGATCGCTGCTGTTTTATTGCCTGGAAGTACTGAATGTGGATATGTGATATCAAATCCAGCTCCAGAGAGGAGCTGGTTGGCTGCATCTTCATCGTACCATCAATCAGTCTTCGACACATATTGCCACTAATACTTGTCTGTCTCTGTCAGACTGAAGCTACTAACGCATGATGCGAAAGTCATTGTGCAAATGTCACACCTGACTGTCAGCTTGCACAAGGTGATACAAACTTAATTCTTTTTTCGTCACATAGAGCGAAGTGTGTAGATTAAAAGAGCACATTTCATAAAAAGATTGCGCAAATTTAAGACAGCTTTTCTAAGATGATCGAAGTTCATTTCAGAGAGCTGTTAAATAGCCAAAACTTCCTAAGCACTTCATCTTTTTTCCCGGAGAAACCGAATGTTTTCCTGTCGGAACTTGATCTTTTGCCAGGCAAACTCTATCTTTTTTGGTAAGAACTTGATCTTTTTTCCTTCATGTTTGTTCAGAACATCTTCATCTTTTTTCCAGGGGAACTCGATCTTCCGTCGTAGGAACTTAACCTTTTCCCCTGCGAAACTCGATGTTTCTTCACAAGAACTTCATCTTTATTCCCGGACAGACTCGACCTTTCTTCGTAACTACTTCACAGATTTCTCAGAATTTTACAGAATATTTTCAGAATCGTGCGATTTAAAGCAGAATTTTGTGAAATATAACAGACATGGAGTTTCTCAGGAAGAAAGATCAAGGTCCTACGAAGGAAGATCGAGTCTCCCAGGGAAAAAGATCAACTGCATCTTTTTTGAAGTTAAAACTGCTGAAATAGTAAGAAAGCAGAAAAATAGAATCCTTTTGCAGATTCGAACCTGTGAGACAGTAATCTTTTCTGCTTCTCGTATTTTCTGTCTGAAAAACGCATTTTCGAGAGTTGTGTCTCGAACATAAAATGTGGCAAATTTAATTTTCTCAATTTGACGTGTTGGTACTGGATTTTAAGAAATCGTTCTTCATGGTGTAAAACGGTAAATACCGTTTCTAACCGTGAAGAACGATTTGTACAAAGTTGAGCCGAGAAGATGAAATTTAGGAAATTAAATTTGCTACATTTCTGTTTCAAGGTTCAACTTTAGAAAACTCTTTCTTCATTGTGAAAAATAATACCTACCAAAACGGCGGCATTTGTGATTTCTCACAATGAAGGAAGAGTTTTCCAAAGTTGAATCTCGAGACAGAAATGTAGCAAATTTAATTTCCTAAATTTCATCTTCTCGGCTCAACTTTGTACAAATCGTTCTTCACGGTTAGAAACGGTATTTACCGTTTTACACCATGAAGAACGATTTCTTAAAATCTGATACCAACACATCAAATTTAGAAAATTAAATTTACCACATTTTATGTTCGAGACACAACTCTCGAAAATGCTTTTTTCAGACAGAAAACACCAATCTCTAAAATATCTTCTCAAGGATTTCATCACTTATCAACTACTACATCGTCGGCGAGTTCGGTTCTCGTTGGGCACATATTCTTTTTTTCTTATTTTTTAAGCTGGCTTTAAGTGTCCGGTTAGCCGAGCGCTCTACCTGTCCGCTTAACCCGATCCTTCAACCACTCGGTTAACCTGCTTAATAACCGCCCTCTTATTAAATATATTTCATCTTCGGAGCTAGCTTAACCGGTCAGTTAATTGAGCAGTTAACCTACTTGTCAACCTCCCACTCCTACTCGATTATGATAACCTAGTGCTCGGTTCACTACTATTTAATAGGTTGGAGCTAGCTAACCAGGTAAAACATACATTTACCTAGATCCATCAAGTGAATAACCGCCCGGTTATGTAGTCGATGGAACTAGCTTCTCTCCGTAGAGCATTTTTGCTTGATCCGTATGGAGAAGAACAGAAAACAAAAAACAGCCATTATATCCGGACCGCTCTACTCAACGATTGAAGTCATGCAAGTGGCTTGATGTTCCCAGTATTAGTTTTTGTATTTATTTTTGATATAAGCCTAAAAATCAGTTCGGTGTTTTGCGGATTTGTAAGTTAGAGTAGTAAAATAAAATATTTCTAGAATGGAAGGTGAGGCGATCTTAGTCAACTGATTCTACTATCAAATCAGAATTATTAATTCTCATAGAAATCATGTAATCGTAGCTCTACATCATTATATGCTTATATTGAGTACAAAGTGTTGGTGATGTCACTCAATTCCGTGTTTCTTAACGCCATCCAGTTATTAAAAGAGAAGATTATATGTTTGTTTTCTGTTGTGACGTCATATATATTTCAAAATATAAAATTTAACGTCACTCTTGTTAAATAAGCAGGTGAATGTGTACGCAAAAGAACACTCATACTGATAATGAAAAAAGGTATATAAGAATGTATCTACTCCACGGAGATTCCAAAATACAATATTAGAATAAGTGTGCTACTAGATCGAACAAAAGAAAAAATGACAAATTGGTTCATCAAAAGATTTTCTTGTATCTCAAAGCAATCATTAAACATGTAAGTATTCAGAACAACTTTCTCGTTAAAAGAAGAGCTTGCAGGCATTTGAGACCTCATATAGTGTAGTCATAAACAAGAACCGTCAGAAATCCGTGGGTGATGATCGTTTCCCATCCATTTCAAAACAGAGTGTACGTGGACCACGTAGGTATGTTACAAACCCAAACCCAAGTCTGGACTTGGATTTGGGATTGGGTACCCAAGTCTGAGACTTGGGTTTGGATATTGGGTCAGACTTGGGTTATTGAAAGACTCCTTTTAACTGAGATACCTTCTTTTGTTGTGGCTTTTTGAGAAAACAGGACGTAAGATGTTTATTTCGGCCTGTGGGCACATATAATACCTAACGCTAACGCTAAGAGCTCATTTTGGATTAGTTCAAATATCCAACAGTTGAATGTTTTATTCTACTTATCTTGTTCATATCATCTCTATCCTTATCTCTCTCAATCAAAATATATATAGCTTTTCTGTTCTGTGATATAA